CCTTTTTCCTTTTTTTTTTTTTTTTTTTTCCTTCTCCCAGCTATTTGCGGGATGATGGGCTTTTGCCCTGCCCGTGCCGGCCAGCGTGACCGCTTTGCCAAGAAGTTCGAGAAGCGGAAAAAGAAAATCCTTCTCTGTGCTTTTTTTTTTTTAACCGCGCTCAGGGTTTGTAAGACAGTTCATGGTGGCAACTTCTTTTTTTGACTTGCTCACATCCCGCGCCGCCGCCGCCGCCGCCGTCGCTTGACGGGCTTGTCTCAAGTCAGCTTCCCGGGATCGCCTTGAGTGTGTGTGTGATAGTTGCTGCAACAGTGCCATAATCCCCCCCCCCCCCTCCCCTCCCAGCCCTGCGATGCAGCCGTGCAGACACTATTTACGATGAACATTCTTACACGCACGCTGCAAGGCTGGAGGAATGGAGAGCCTTGCGTGGCTTGCCGAGCTCCCGTATGGTTTTTTTTTCCTTTTGGGGGTCGTTCACAGGGTCACACACCGATTGGCTTACGGACCGCCACTCACGTAAAACAAGTGCGTTCATGAGGCCAGCCCTCGATTGGCTTTGATACGAATGAGATTTGTAGACTATTCTGTTTTTCTTTCTCCCGCGCATTTTTCGCCTCTTTGCCGGAAAACCAAGATGCGAGTTTTCCGCCCCCCCCCCTCCCCCTCCCTCTCCCCCTCCTCTCCCCTCCCTCTCGTGAGTGAGCAGTAGCGGAATCGACCTCGCGTAAAATAATATGTATAATACGACAGTGAGTAATGCCCGAAGCTGAAGCCCTTGCACGTCGGCGTAATATAATTACTGTGGCGATATCATAATCACAACAAAAAAAATTGAAACAACGGCAGATACAAGGAAATAAACCATCATGCGTCGTCTTTCGTCATCATGTCAAAATGCGCCAAAAAATAACATTGGACGATTAGTCGACATTGGACGATTGATTAGTCGACATTGGACGACTAGTCGACACTGTATGATTGGTCACGCCTGGCCAGGGCTGAACCCCTTACCCTTCTTTGGGGGCCAATACCACGCAACGCCATGTAAATGAGACGACAACGCGCGTCTACCTTTTTATTTTGTCCCCTCTGCTTGAGGGATGGCCGGCCATGCTTTCTTTCCCCCCCTCTTCTTCCTCCTCCAATAATTTGGCACTTCATTCCGGGGACCGGGACCAGGGTCGAACATGGGATTGCGCCCAGGAAGGGGGGTGTTCGGCGGCGGCGGCGGCGGGCGGTGGGCGATGATGGCTTGCTGTTGGGCGTCTTGGCCCTAGCTGAGAAGAGGCCTTGGGTAAGCGGGCTTGGAGCCCACCCGCGTGATTTGGCTATTACCAAAAGTACATAACTGCCCAGTTTAGGCGAAAAGTACGCCCTTTTTCCCCTCCCCTCCCCTCAGCAAGCCACCGTAATCGGTCCAAGGCGGAGAATTGGGCAGCGCCTCAGCTGGGAAGGGAGGGCGTGCCACAACGCGGTGAGAGCCTCAGCTGGCATCTTTTTCCGGACTGGGAAGGTATTTTGGAACGATCTGTTCCAAGGATCCCGAGAAGCCTTTCTTCTTTTATATTTTCTTTTCTTTTTTTCGCGTCAGTTACCGAATAAGCTTGTCTCTGATGATCAGTCCGCCAAGAGGCGATTGTCGGCAATCTCTCTCTCTCTCTCCTTTCCATCTCTCTCTGCCGTGCCCTGTCCGATTTTTTTCCACCAATTTTTGCCCGTCATCATGGGCGATGCAGCGGGTAACCCGAGCGGATCTTGATGAACCCTATCATCTATGTGAGTGAGTGAGAGTGGCACGAGGACCACATGACCCCATCATCTCGAGCAGGTCTAGACGCGACAGTGAGCTGCCTCGCATGGCAAGCAAAAGTTGACCGTGTGCCCATCGGGTCACGGTTTGCAATTGCCGTATTTCTACAGCGCCACTTTGGTCGTTAAACTGCCTATTTACCTGCCATCTCCTCTTGCCTTTTTTTTTTCGCTTCTTCATTAGCGCATGCCTCTTGTCTTTTTAGTGGCTTTTTTGGAGGGGGGTGCGCACAATGAATTAACTTGGTATGTATGGTGGGACGGCATTCTCCGTTGAATAGAGTGAATGCCAGATGCCACACCCTCCTTTCTCCCAGGAGATTGGTACCTAGTTAGCCTAGGTAGGTAGCTAGCTAATTGCCACTTGAGCTGGCGGATAAAGTGAAGTAGGTCACAAGGCTGGACTCGACTTGGCCTTGGCCAGGCAGTGCAGTGCTACCGTCCGCTACCGTCCGCTACCATGGCCTGCTTGCCTGCGCCTGCCACCTGCCTGCGCATCTGGTGGCGCCAGTGTGCCATCACCCACCCACTGTAATCCGTACTGAGTATAATGTGTATTCTTCCGTAAGCACTCAAAATTTGGCTCCCCCCTGGTTTCGTCGTAAAAATATCTACCTTGCATTCTCTAGGGTAGCTGGCTCTTGCTCGTAGGACATACAAGCAAAACTAGGTTTGCCCACTTTCCGCCCTTCCGGGACCAAGGTGTGCGCCTCTGCTCACCGTCACACCGGGATTTCTCAGCATCTGACGTCGGAGGTACCGACTGCGCAGTTCTGTACGTCGGTCGCTCTTGCTCTCGGACTCTAGCCGTCGCCTCTTTTTTTTTTTTTACTACGCCTAACAAACCACGTTTTCCCTCCCTCCCACCCTACCCTCCATCTTCACACCCACATCAGAGGAACACGGGAAAATAAAGGAACTTTCCGGATCAACAGATCCAAAGTGGTGCCAGCCCCGGCACAGCTGAAGATGACGAACTTTGTCTTTGCCCGTGTGTGTGTGTG